CTCCTTGTCCTTCTCGGAGTACAGAGGTGAGTCTGCCCGAGCCGGTCGCCGAGGCGAAGCTTTCCAAGAGCCAGCGGCTGGTCCCCAAGCGATCCTCTCGCTTTCGGCTGCGGCTGGGTTTGGCCAGACGGGCTTTTTGCTCATTAGCTGCGTTTCCCAGGCTGCCGGGTGCGAAAGGACGCAGGCAAAGCCGGGAGACGCAGGGGGAAGGGTGTCTCGCGGGTCTCTCAAAGCACAGAATCTCTCCGGGGTTGAGTTTTTCTTCCCCCCCGCCTCACGTTGCTTCTCGCTCGCAGTTACGGTCTTACAGTCGCAAACGCTTCGCAGGGAAACTTTTACAGGGGGGGCGAATGCCCAGCTCACGTGGCTTTTTTTTCCACGGAGGCAGCTGGCCCTCGTGTTTGTCGAAGGGAAACCTCCCCTGTCCTCCGTCCCAGACATAGGCAGATGCTGCTGGGATGGCAGCACGTTGCTCCACAGCTGCCCTAAGAAACAGAGAGAAATTCTGTGTCGCTTTGGAGAGAAAAGTGTGATTTTAGGGCAGTGAGACAATCCCAGGCAGTAATTGGAGCAGACCCAAAGTGACCGGGCTCTTGGGGCTTTGTTTCAGGTGAGATGCAAGGGCAAGTAGGAGGCTCGAAAACGGCTTCTATCGTGGCAGATCTGTCCGAGACCACTTTCGAGACGCTCTACGGGGAGGAGAGGTGGGTCTGGCCGCGCTTGTTGCCCTAACGCGACGCTTGGGAGGCAGAGGGGATCCGTGCCCCCCCTTGGCAGCAGCCCCCTGGCGCTGGGGACGTTGGCTGGGAGGGGGGGGGGCGGATCTCACTGTTGCTCGTGCCGGTTTCAGGATCGGAGGAGAAGTCCACTCCATGGTGTGGGACCCCACCGGCGAAAGACTCGCGGCGATCATCAGAGGTGAGCGCTGCCTCCGCCCCTGCCTGCCCCAGTGCCGGGCTTTGCCTGAAAATCCCCGTTCCAGCAGGCAGAAGGGGCGCAAACCCCGCTGAGGTGAGGAGTCGGGTCGAAAAGGCAGCCCCCCCCCTCCATCCTTCCTGACCCTGCCTCCGCTCCTCCGTATCCTTCGGAGAGGGATGCGTCCCGAGTTCCCTCCCCGCTTCCAGTCGGATGAATCATGCCTCCCAACCCCCCTGCAAGGTCTCCTGTGTTCCCGCAGTGCCCGCATTACGCCTGGAGCCCGACTGGGCCTCTTGGCTCCGTTTCTAGGAGCAGCCCCTGGGATAATCGAGCCATTCAGGCTCTCCTGGACGGGCCCCGCTCCGAGACAAAGCAGACCTTTGAGGGAGCACCGAAACACGGTGCTGGGGATGCTGCTGCTTCGGGCTCCCTCCCTGCACGCCCCCGGCAGGGAAGGAGCTGAAGCTGCTGGGCCCAAACCTGGGGTTCTTTTCTGCCGTGCTTAAAGCTGGGTGGGGAAGAAACCGGGTGGGGAGAAAACCTGAGGGAACCGGGACTCCCTGGCACACACCACACCCCCACCCCCCGTCCTCTGCACCTCCAGGTAGGTCCTGCGAGGATCTCGGTGCAGAAACTGATAGGATGGAAAAATAACCTTCACGTTGGAGAGACGGGGGCCCCCACGTCACACCTTAAAGGCTGGGGTGTTTCCAAAGGAGTCGCCTCATCTGCTGCCCAAATTCTTCTTGAAACCTACCTACCTGAGACCTTGGAGCCAGCTTTAAATCACTGAAGGGTCTTTGAAAGCCCCGTCCCGGGATCCTGCGCACCTCGGTGCGAGGAAAACGCGGTCCGCAGCCAGCTTTCCCCCACCTCGGTGGCCGCCCGCCCCAGTCTCCGCAGTGCA